GTATAAATATTTTATTTATATATGTATATATATGTATATATATATAAAATCAACATATACATATATATACATATCAAATAAGATATATATATATAAATATATACATACATATAAATGCAAAAACATAACACATCCAGGTACCTCTTTCTGCTCGTTTCTGACCACCTGTGCGACATGGGTGACTTCCATCTCTATTTGCTTCATGTATTCTTGCATGGTGTCGCATATAGATGAGTTGATATTGAAGTTATCAATCAGTTCCTGGAATGATTTGTATGAGAAAGGAAGGCATTCAATACTAAAACCTTAAACCCTAATCGGAAGGATGTGTTGGTCAGTTGCAGTTGGTACAAATCGCAATCGTAGACTGTACTGTACTCTGAGATTGAGAGATGTATGGACACTCCAACCACTGCGAATGTCAATAGGTTAAACTCTACAGACATGGATTGCTAAAGGCCTCTCTGCTTTCATATAAGACGTATTATATATCATATCACAGACAATCACACACGCACACACACGCATATATATATATATATATATATCACTCAATCACATTCACATCGTTTTGCTTCTTACATGCAAAGATCACTAGCATCACCCATAACTGACCCACAACCATCTTCCATACGCACACTATCCAAACTAAAAAATTCATACTATACTCATTACGTCTAATGTAGTAGTTAGTGCTAGTGGTACAGACTTGCCTTGGACTGTTGTTCAATGGGGATGACCTTTTGCTGCACACTGTTGGCGCGTGCGCGTTTGTCCATTTCTTTGAATATCTCGTAACGGGCTTTCCGGGTGTACTCCAACTCTGCAGAGGCGCAAACGGTGTACAGTAGACATTCTAATAACAATAGTATATCCAGTCCATCAAGTGATGCACATGCTAAAACGTTTAGTAGACACATTCTAATAACAATAGTATATCCAGTCCATCGAGTGATGCACATGCTAAAACGTTTAGTAGACACATTCTAATAACAATAGTATATCCAGTCCATCAAGCGATGCACATGCTAAAACGTGTAGTAGACACATTCTAATAACAATAGTATATCCAGTCCATGAAGTTATGCTCATGCTAAAACGTTTAGTAGACACATTCTAATAACCATAGTATATCCAGTCCATCAAGTGATGCACATGCTAAAACATTTAGTAGACACTTTCTAATAACAATAGTATAACCAGTCCATCAAGTGATGCACAAGCTAAAACGTTTAATTAGACACAATCTGATAACAATAGTATATCCAGTCCATGAAGTGATGCACATTGAAAACGTTTAGTAGACATATTCTAACAACGCTTAGTAGATATATTCTAATAACGTTTAGTAGATATATTCTAATAACGATAGTATATCCAGTCCATCAAGTGATGCACATGCTAAAACATTTAGTAGACATATTCTGAGAACGCTTAGTAGATATATTCTAATAACGTTTAGTAGATATATTACAATAACAATAGTTTATCCAGTCCATGAAGCTGTGCACATTGTAAAACGTTTAGTAAATACTGTTTGGTGCCCATATACGACCCACTGTACCTACCTACAACACTTGGGACTTTAAGGGGACACTTTGAGGCCAAATCTTCCACCCTGCATGAAGGACACAGGTGTGTGTGAATAGGACCGAACTTAAATACACTTGAGACTGGGTGACGTGGTACACCACTTTCTCTGCCCAGTACCTATACCCGTCACCCAAAAATGTAGAACCCGGACAGTCCAGAATAGGACCGTCTATCAACAGCCAGCCGCGAGAGGTGCGCTTATGAGAGTGCGGTCTTACTGTTAGTCACATACTCTGCCAGAACGCCCTTTGCCGATAGCGGCGGTGTGGTAGCCCTGTCTGTGGGTATACACAGTAAAGGCAGTCCGTTCGTAGGTCGGATTGGACTAGGTAGACCTTGTGTAGGTACACCTGACGGCGTAGGTAAGCTCTGTCGGCTGGGACTGGTGGGGTGTGAGCGCATGATGGCCTCTTCATCCAACAGATTAGTCGAATCAAATACCACCGATCGTAGAAGACTATGACGTTGCACTATGAGATGGAGATGAAATGAGGAATATG